TGGGAAAATTGGATTCATTTAAAATCGTTTCACTTAAAGTTGCATTTTTCAGGAACATAACTACAACGTTAAGTGAGGAGTTACTGTATCTGCTTTCTTAGCAGAACTTCATGCATGGAACAGTTACACTGGTGTTCCAGAGAATACACTGACTTCAATTAATTTCTGAGTGTAATTCATGACCTGTACACACCAAAATGAATTCCTTCAGGAACTGTGATTTGACTGTTGGAGTGCCTTTCTGCCAAACTACTTAGTAGAGATTAACTGTGATGCTCAGACTGTGCAGGAGGAATTGGGAGTAGAACATTCTTAACTCTGAAATTTTGCTTCCCTCTTTGGTCTGACAACCAGAGTATAACTGTCAGAGCACTAATGGCTGGTTCTTTCAGAGGGATTTAGTTGATTTAGGATTTTCTTGTGATATTAAAATGTTGTTAATGCACCAGGAAAACTTTACAGAATATTGGGTAAACTGAACAAAAATTAAATGATGCATATGCTAGAAACCAGGGTGAATGATCAGACTGACAGATTCCTCCTCTCCTCCTACTCCCTTCCAAATCTGCTCCCTCTATTTTCAGGGAGTTGGTATTCCAAACACAGGGGAAGGTCTAGTTCCTGTCTGAAGTTCTTGCGTTCAGGGATCCAAAAATGAATCATGGATCAGTAGATTTCTTTATGCTGCTTAAGCCAAACAGCCTGTGTGAATCATGAAAACCATTTTTTTCCCATCTGAAGCAGCTAATTAAAATTCCACCCTTAACTCCCAAACTTCAAGTAACCTCTATTTGTTTCTCTTTACCTTTTGTTTTTTTTAATGGTATTATCAGATACTGTATCAACTTTTATTGGCTGTTCAAATTAATGCATTACAGATATTCTCCTTAAGTGTCAGACAAAATAAAAATTAATTTTCTTTTGTACATATTAATCCCACTCAACTTGTATTTTTTTTTTAAAACACTAGGTAAAGTTGAACATAATTCTAGCTGGAAGTCAGATTGTTGATAATGAAAACTTGTTTGTTTCCCTTCTAGTCACAGCATATTTTCTATCAGACTACTGAGGCTAAGTGATGAGGCTGAGCCTTGTATTCTTGGAGTTTCAGAGTAAGTGTCTGTCTTCTCAGTTCTACAATAAAATTAATTATTAGGGGGGAGCTAGTAGTGAAACCTATGTCTAAGTTGCCTAACACTCTGAATTATAAGTTCTCTGACCTTTGAGTATTTCAGAGCCATGTTTGCAGCAGACCTTTAAAACTTGGTAAGGGGAGAGCCTTGAGGCCAGAAATCTGCCTTTATTGGTCTCATTGAATTCCATTAAGATATGGTTGAGAGAAACTTATGAAAATTGCCACTTTCCATCTGTAGCTTGCGTTCCTCAAGAAAACTTTTGGTAGCCTATTGAAATAACGGAACATGAATATTCTAATCTAAGAGTGTGCCCAAGCCATCCCCAATGCAAAATAGAATGTACTGCTCAGGGAACCCCAGGTAGCAATAGCCTCTCTGGGGGTGGGAGAGCAAGACAGTCTTCCCCTGACATCCCCTTCCTTGGGGGCACCATGTGGGGAAGGCGCCCCTATATTCTGTGGAGGGAGCTAGGCTTGGCTGTATTTTCCCCCCAACTCAGTACATGACCCCATCAAGCCTCCCCTAATGGTAACTGCCTTTTGCTGCTGTCATAATATAATGAGTCTCACACCTCAAGTGTTATACACTGCAGAAGGTTTAGAGTCCAAACTCTACCAATGATGCATGATCTCGGGCAGATGGGTGTTATTTTGTTTTTACTGCTTTATGTATTTCCTTTTAAACAGCCTAGGAAACTACATTGTTAAAAGAATGCTTAGCTGGCAGAGTCAAGCTCTTGGAAGTTGGGGAATGTCAGGTTGCCTGTGCAACCTTAATTTAGCCTGCTTGTGATCATTATGTATTATACACATACTAACACCCCCCCCCCCCCAGGACTCCTCCTTCCTGCAGTGCACAGAATGGACAGTGCTCAGGGACTGAATCAGGGTTGTGTAGTGAAAGAAGATGTCTATAGGATCCCTTTCCCCCTTTGGTAGGAGTGAAAAGAACAAAATAGAGGACTTCAGGAAGATGAAAGGATGGTGATTTAAGGCAGGTGAATGCCAAACCGGAGAGCCCTGTTATCCCTGCTTCTGCCATAGCTCACGTGTGTTATTGAGGAGGTCTTTTAAGACACAATTTTGGGCAAGTGCCACTGATCATGTTCCTTTTTTTCTGGGCGCCTCTTTTGAGCCACTTGGGGCCTGAATAGGCAAAAGTGCTGAGCACTCAGACCTTCAGCTGAAGTTAACAGGAGCTGTGGGTGCCTAGGCAGTAAGGCAGCGTGATCTGGAGGCATGAATATAGAGTTGAATCACGATGTTATGATTTCAAATCATGGCTCTGCCAGTGAGTCAGTTTTTTATTTTCCTAAGTGGGGAAGATAAATTTATCTCCACTGAGATAAGAGCACTAACATTTGTGAGGCACTCTGATATTATGCCTGCCCTATGAGGGGTTCTGTATTTGCCTGCACACTTTGGTTAGTCTACAGTAAATAAGGTGAGATCATCAACTGAATGATATTGAACAACTGCCTCATTCCCTGAGCAGCACCAATCTTGTGTATTGAATGATGTAGGATCTTGTGGAAATGGTATGTGATCATGTAATTAAACATACATGCAAAGGGCTAAAATCTGCATAGGCTTAGGTTGCATGGGCAATCTACATTTAAGCACATCACAACTTTTGAGTACTTGACTTTGCAACCTAAATGTCCTCCTAAGGCTGCTTTTTTTTTTTTTTAATGTAGTTATTTTTCCTGGCACAAATATTTCTCTAAGTATTCTGGTGGGCCATGTGGGGGCAATCCAGTGGCCTAATTCAAACTTTGATGACAAAAGTTGCAGTATGTGCTAAGTGTTGACACTTGGCTGTATGAGTCAACCTGTGGGGAACTCCTGTCCTCTGCACAGATGTTGGAAGCTGCAGAAAGAAACAAAGTACTCTGCATCCAAAAGTATCAATCTGTATTGTATTATTAATGCTCTGCATTAGTATTTCCTTGCAGTTCTCACAGCACTGAAGTTGACTAGGATAAAAGTACTTTCCATAGTGTGTTTCTCCTCTAGGGGAAAGTGCTTCAGCAATTCAATTGGTATCATTCATTTGAGTTCAGGTGGATGTGGAATAGTCCCACACCAAGATTTGGGTTCCTATGAATGCTGGTTCTAAAGAATTAGAGTGTTGTGTTGTATTCTCTGAATGCACTAGTTCCCATTAGTGTTTGATTGATTTATTTATTTTAAAATAAGGGCTGTGACGTTGGCTTAACTAACTCTCCATGGAATATGGAAATACTAGTGGCAATATTTAAGCTATCGCAGTGTATTTAACTATAGCTGTATTATGAGTAAGGCTGTGTTTTAGTCATGGGTATTTTTAGTAAAAGTCATGGGCAGTAAACAAAAATTCACGGCCTGTGACCTGTCCGTGAGTTGTACTATATACCCCTGACTAAAGCTTGGGTGCAAGGGCAGCCTGGGGGAGCTGCAGCATGCCCTGGGTGGGGTGTAGTCTGGGACCCCTGCTGGTGGGGGGTGGGGGTTGGTAGGGCTGGCAGACTCCCTATGTGGCTCTCTGGAAGCAGCGACATTTCCCCCCCCCCCCACTGGCTCCCTCCGCTCCTAGCTCCCCGCCCCAACTATGACCAATGGGAGCTGCAGGGACGGTGCCTGCAGGCGGGGGCAGCGTGCAGAGCTAGGAGCTGAGGTAGGGACATGTCGCCACTTCCAGGGAGCCTCCCAAGGTAAGCGTTTCCCAGAGTCCTCACCCCCCTCCCTCGCCCTAACCCCCAGCTCTGAGCTCCCTCCCACATGCACCCAAACTCCTGCTGCTGCTGGGGAGGGGGTCAGTGGCCCGAGACTGCCCGAGCAATGGCTGGTGCGGCTGGCCCAGGGGTTGCCCGAGCTCCTCAGGCGGCTCCCAGGTGAGCTGCACTGGCTGCTGCAGAAGTGTCAGAGATCCCGGGAAAGTCACGGAATCTATGACCTCCATGACAAACTCACAGCCTTAATTATGAGTATCTGATGCCCTACTCTGGACTTTGTATTGAAGGAAAGGCTTTGTACAAAACCATGTTCCTTACCTTCTGTTTGCAAAAGCCACTGAAGAATCAAACATTAGAAAGAAGGTACTCTGTAGTCTACATCTTAGATGTGTGTCCAGAAATGTTAAGAGTTAGTGATTTTTATCGCACCAACATATCTGAAAGTAAACAATATTAAAAATTGTGTTTAACTTGTACAATATTTTTATTATTGATTCTTTCATTTAGAATGTCTCTCTGTGACTTGGCTGGGTCTGAACGGTGCAATAAGACACAAACTTTTGGAGACAGACTAAAAGAAGCAGGGAATATTAATAATTCTCTTTTTATTCTTGGGAAATGCATTGCAGCACTGAAGCAGAAGCAGAATCCTAAGTAAGTGAGAAGACTTAAAACAACTTGAGTTTTAGTTCAGCTAAAAGACTAATCATGCAGTGCACAGCTTTGGGTAGTGGTTCTGCAAACTTGCACAGTGGTTCACTTAACATGTACATTTAGCAATATGTTTATTGCAAACATCACTATAATAACAATAATTTTTCCACAGGAAAAGTAGAAGACTTAAATTTGTATGTGCGAGTATGGTAGAAGAGACTTGAAACTGCAAAACCAGTGACTTTTATACTGCGAGCAACCAGTATCTCTCATAAATGCAGATTTTTCTCAATCTGTGCAAGTAGACTCACTTGAGAGTTCAGAAATAGACTGTACTCCGCATGAAATTATTCAAGTATCTCCTTTTTGTGAGTGGTAGGAACTTGTCCAAAAATACAGATTTGTTGTCCATATTTTTTTTTCTTGACTTTTTAAAATACCTTCTATAGATCATTTCTTGGAGAGTATTTGGGAATATGTTCAGCTTTGTTGGATAGGGACGTTACATTCAAAGTTGAGTGTTCTTATGGAAAAGCACATATGTTTCCTCAAAGATTGGATCTAGAAAAGCTATGCGTATGATATTACAACTTGGAAATTGTACAATTTTCTCTTTAAGTGTGAAACACAGCTATATTCCATTCAGAGAGAGTAAACTCACCCGCCTGTTTCAACCGTTCTTCTGTGGTAAAGGCAAAGCTTGTATGATTGTCAACGTTAATCAGTGTGCCTCCACCCACAGTGAGACGTTGCACGTAATGAAATTTTCTGCTACAGCCAAACAGGTAAGTAGAAGTCTACTTCTCCTTGAAGCATTCTTACACTTAACTTATGAATTGCCTAGATTGACTATATATTGAAACTCCTGATCATATGGTCTCAATGTACTTAGGACTTCTTGATTTGAAGTGCAACTGGCTTGTCTCTTATGGGCTTATAATATACCATACTACTTCCTATATATAAAATGCTGTTGCTTGTTTGCAAAAAGTTTTTAATAGTCTTACTTTCTTGAAATTGTCATTTTTCAATCAGGTATGCAGAATTGCATTCCTATATTAGTATGCACTAAACTAAGTACAGTTACCTAGTGTGACCAGACAGTGTTGGCCATGTTATGCCAGCTGTGCACATGCACACGATGTGTGATTACAACTTAATTATTTGCATGCACAAGTTATGAATGTATAAATGAGTTGCACAAGCTGACCATTTGTCCCAAAGCTTTTTAACAGCAGATTCAAGAGATGCAGTAAGAGGAGGCAATCTCTAGTATCTTACAACCAATATCCTAAACAAGATCTCTAGTGCTCAAATTCCTCTTGTTTAATGTTCATGACCTGGGTTTAATTTTTTTCTTACTGGTCTTGCCTTCTGGTCAGTAGGGGCATTGAGTGGTTTGGAGGCAGTGTGCACAACCCCGGAGGAGAATCCTGTTCAAACAATCTTTACTTTCTTTGGGAATGGCTGGCGTGCACGCTCTCTCTTCTCTGCGCCCCCTGTCCTCCCCTCCTAGGTGGTTGCTAGTTCCTACCCTCCCTGCCTCATCACTTAATGCAGGATTTTGGGTGGTATTTTATCTTACCCTGCTCTACTCCCTTTCCTATTTCTTCCTGACAGCTGCCCCACAGAATCAGTTGCTGGGCTGCCTCTTGCTGTCCACCTCCTGCTGCTCTCATGAGGGAGCCTTTACTTCATGGAAGGAGAATCTTATTTCTAGTTTGGGGCTGTAAACCCACTTTTAAATGTAAAACTCTATTACACTCTTAAACTGTTAGAGCTCCTAAGTCAGGGCTTCTGATAGTGCTCTCAATGTAGAGCTTTCCCTGTTTGAGTTCTCTCGTAGTACATGCTTCTTCCATCTCTGGATGGATAGAGCTTGTCTGTCATAATCCCTGAGCTACTCTGATCAAAGTCCCATGACTCAATCTTAATCTTGCCCATCAGGGTGTACACCTGAACCTCTCAGTTACATCCCACATGAGGCAATAGCCACCTTAGGTAATTGCTCTTGGTCATTCAGGGCAAATGTGCCAAAAGTTAAAATTCTTGGACATTTTTTCCAAATCTCTGCTTCGATAACTAACCACAGCAACTCTGAAAATAAGGAAAACCATCTTGTTTTATTAAATAAAAACTGAGGGACAACATCATTGTTTCTGTCTTAAAAGTATATGTATTTTAACAGATTCTTCGCAAGATGGAAGGCTTGTTAACATAACTCTTTTATATTTATACCAGAAAGAAATGCTATTTCCCCCACAGTACATATAATTTTGACAATTTTTCAGGTTATTCAGACAATCCACCCCCAAACCTTTGGATATTTTGCTCCAAAACTGGTTGGGAAGAATGGCAAGCCTATAGTACATTTTGATGCCAACATATCTGCTGAAGAGGTTCCTGATGAAGATATAGATACCTCCTCTGAAGAGGAAGTGGACATCACCATCATGACCCATGAGGTATAGTAACTCGTCACTTAAAGTCGTCCCAGTTAACGTTGTTTCATTGCTGGTCAATTAGAGAACATGCTTGTTTAAAATTACACAATGCTCCCTTATAATGTTGTTTGGCAGTCGCCTGCTTTGTCCACTGCTTGCAGAAAGAGGAGCCCGTTGGAGCGAGCTAGTGGGGGGGCTTGGAACCAGGGTGGACCGGCAGCCCCCCATCAGCTCCCCGCTCCCCTAAGTTCCCTGTGCGGCAGCTGTCCAGCAGGCTATCAGTTGCTACCAGTTCAGCTGTCCCTCCCCCCCACTGCCATGTGCTGCTCCTGCCCTCTGCCTTAGAACTGCTCCCGGGAGCCTCCTGCTTGCTGTGCGGCGGGGGGGTGGAGGGGTGGGTGGAAGAGGGGGGGTTAATGTCAGGGTATCCTCCTCCCCCTTCTCCTGTCCCCCCCCCACTTGCCCCATCTCCATGGAGCAGGAGGGAACTCGAAAGGGCTCATGACTGCGGGAGCTTGCTGGCAGCAGCTGCTGTCTCAACGTGCTGATCTAATTAAAAAGGTAATGTACTTAGAGTGCAGTCAGCATACTTAAAGGGGCAATGCGCATCTCTGTCTCTCTCCTGCACAGGGTGTGTCTCTGTCTGCCATGCTGTCTCCCCTCCCTCCATTTGTGCTGCCTTGTAGACTGTGAGGCTACATTAACAACAATGTATTAACCCTTGAGGGCTCAGCTGTTATAGTTCATTGTTTTAGCAGTAAGGCATTCCCTGGGAAATATCCCACCCTCTGACTTCACCACCTCAACCAAGCTTCACAATCATCATTGCTGTGTACGGTATTAGTTTATTTGTTAAAACTTACACACACTCTCTTCCCTCCCCCCCCCCCCCCGCCCCCGTGGGAGCAAGATACAACTATTGAAGTAAATATCAGTTTTTCCCATTGACTTCAGTGGGAGTGGGCTCAGAATCATTTTTCTTGGGCACATGCCTCAGTTCTGATGAAACCTCAGTATTTCAATAGGAAAACCAACATAGAAAGGCCCATGAGATGGGGTTTCATGTTCCATAGTGGACAGGTAGAGAGCTTTTATGAACTCCATTGCTTGGTAAATAACACTTTTTTTTTTAATTGCATGTTATTCTTGCTTTTAGCTTGGTTTCTGAAGTGAAGTATTTTAAATGCAGGAGCTCTTGAAAACTACTGAGAACCTGAAGAAGATGCTAGTTGCAGAAAGGCAGAGTAAACTTCTTCTTGAGGTGCAGATACGTAAAGAGATGGCAGAAGCCATGTTTCAACAACTGTTGGAAACCGAGGAAACTTGGAGGTAAGCGATGAGACCATCAAAAATATATAACATGATGGGATGGAATAGAATAGGAACATCTCATGCATACACCATTTAGAGAGGAAGCTAATAATGGCTGGCCAACTCTAAAGCTCTTCTATTGTTTCCAAGAGCAAAAGACTAGAAAATGTCTCAGTGATCAGACTACTGTTGCATGCTTCCAAAAAACAAACAAAAAACCAAAGTGGTGGTGTCCTCTGTATGCAACACTGAATTTATTCTATGGTTAACCTGAAATTACTGGAGGATATCTCATTCTGACTTTCCCGTACATGAGAATCTACCAGACCAGGTAAGACAGACTGGATCTAATCACATACACTCAGTACCTCTGAGGACGCTCTCCTAGATTGCTGTAGAATACAAACTGCTACATTAGTGGTAGAACACCTTTGTAAGCACACAGTTTTGTGTGGCTTTTTGCCAGCTCCACAAACCATTACTGACTTCTTGGTGGCTAAAATACTGTGACTGCACACAGAATATAGAGCTGGTTCTGAGCAATGGTCGTGGTAACTCCAAGGATTGGTTCAATAATTTGGGAATCTGCAAAGTTGATGGGTATTTCAAATGTTATTGCATGTGACATAGGGTGTGAGCGCTCTCATGTACAATGAGTGACTGCTTTCAAATAGTTATGAAAAATAGTCTCGCCCTGTCCTGCTCTTCTCAGACCTCCTCTTTCCTGCCAACCGTTCACCAGTCTTCTCTTTTTGCCATCCCCATGTGTATGGTGTTATGTTAGGTAGTAGAAGCAGTTGGATGGCAAGAAAAATCATCTGCTTAGTTCTCTCATCTTCTCTCTATTCATTTTCATTCAGCTTCTGCTTCTGTTCCACCAAAGTACAGTTGTCTGACATTTTAAGAGGCTAGCCATGATAGACCATGGCCTCTCTTGCAGGTGACTAAACACAGAGAAATCAAGCATGCACTGAGGTTGTAGGCATCTGCATGCTACTAAAGAAACCTGAAATTACCTGTAGCATTTTTGCATCTTTTCTTGGGATGGTGTCCCATGTTTTTCTAGGGGAATTCTAAAAAAAAAAATTGCAAAAATCACAATGGGATTGTGTACCTCACCCCTGTATTTATGATTGGTGCCGAGATGAGCCTAATAGGAATGCCACAGAAATGTATTGTACTGTAGTGTAGTAAAATAGGAGACAATTGGTTAGACAGGTCTTACAGTAGTGTTAATATGTCAGGTCTGTCATTGCCTATTGATGGAAACTTGCTGGGTTTTTCTGCCCCCTCCACCCCCTCCCCCCAAAAAAATTAAGGCTGGAATAGCCCATCTAAGGCTTGGTTTAAACTTAAATTTATCAATGTAGTTCTGTTTGGAGTGTGAGGGTGGTAGGCTAATCTACACAGTTAAACCAACAAAACCTTCCTGATGTAGATGCAGTTTATACTGGCATAGAAGTGCTTATACCCAGTGATGAGCTGCCAAAATCTTAACAAGTGGTTCCTTCCTCCTCACCCCACGAGGGGGTCGTGGTCCGCCCCCCAGGACTCCTGCCCCATCCAACCCCCTGCGTTCCTTGATGCCAGCCCCCCGACACCTGCCCCATTTAAAAGCCTTTTTAGAACCAGTTGTCTCACACTGGACAACCGGTTCTAAAACGGCTTCTAAATTTAACAACCGGTTCCCATGAACCGGTGCGAACTGGCTCCAGCTCACCACTGCTTGTACCAGTATAGCTTATGCTGGTTCCTCAAACTGCACTTATATGCCAAAATAAGACCTAAATTGTAGGTTGGCTCAAGTTTAAAAGTGGATCAAATTCATAGTTCAATCTCAAATGGGTTTGAGCTTAGATATTAAGGATTGGAGGGATGGTCCAGTATTTAGAGTGCTAGCCACAGGTTCGATTGCCTTCTCCACCACTGGCTTTCTGTGTGACTTTAGGCTTGTTGTGTTTCAGTTCTGCAACTGTACAATGGGGGATAATAGCCCTTCCCAACCTCTGTGGTGGTGTGAGTATAAATCCACTAAAGATTGCAGTATTTGAGTGCCTCACCAAAATGGGGACCATATAAATACCTCTGAGCCTTTTTCAGTGTTGCCAGTTGGTGTACTGTGACTGCATCAGCTGAATGATAGATCAAAGCAGTGACATATAACATGTTTTTAGCTTTCCTGGGCTGGCAAATATCTGTTACCAAACCAAAGTAGTATAGAAAACTAGACCAACCAAACTTGACTGACTTGCAGCATTAAATATGCACATAACACTTCCTGTTGCATATATAGTTGTCCCATAGACTTGCATTATAGCACCATTGTAAGTAGCTCAGAAAAAGTCCTTGCTAGCATTACTATCTAGACAGTAAAGGAGCCAGAAACAACAATTTTTGGCTTCTCTTGATTTCTCAGTTATTTCACTTACAATGTTCTAGTACTATAGATAACTAGAATTATTTTTCTGATAGTGAAAAATAGAATTTGACAAGACTGACTAAAGGACTAAGTGAAATTACTACAGGCTTAAAAAGTAGAACTTAGAGTACTGGACATTTCTTCTGCTAGTCTCCCACTTAACCTCTTAATTTACTTACTTAATTTATTTACTTTGAATCTTTGTCCAACTCTTTCTAGGTTTCACGTGTAGTTTTGAAATATTAACACTTTGACTCCTGTAAAATTGTGTAAATGTAGCACTCAAGCAAGCTAACTTGATTTATTTATCATTCTCAGTAAACGCTTGGAAGATATGAGAGAAAGTTATGAGGAAAAATTGGAGAATAAATTTGAAATGTATAAGGAAGCTATAAAGAAACATGCATATATGTGTGCAATGAAACAAATTGAAGACCACTATGTTCCAATAGAAGAGTTCGTAGTTGAACAAGAGAAAGTTGAGGTAGACTTCATTTTGGTTTTTTTTTTTTTTTTTTTTTTTAAAATTTGCACTGTCCTTAAATTGTCAGCCTATGTAACATTGCCTTTCCTTAAAGGTATCCTCCAGGAATTCTCCCTCTAACTGTAACATTGTAAACTAAGCCACCAAAATAACTTTTTTGAGGTTATTCAACTCATTTATGCTGTGAATACATAGTCCTATTGTGCTAGTAGGGTGACAGTCTCCTTCTGACACTGTTTCTATGCTAATAGCTTCTCTGGGAACTCTGGCTGTGGGTATGTCTAAACTGCAATAAAACACCTGCGGCTTGCCCATGTTGGCAGACTTGGACTGTGGGGCTATAAAATTGTAGTGTAGACATTCCGGCTGGAGCTTGGGCTTTGGGACCCTCCAGCCTGAGCCTGAATGTCTGCACTACAGTTTTCTAGCTCCGCAGCCCAGGCCCCACAAGCCTGAGTTAGTTGACACAGGCCAGCTGTGGGTGTACTATTGCCGTGTAGACACATTCTGCCTGGCTAACACCAATGAGCTCTTGTGTGTGGAAACACTACCTGCACACTCCACCTAGACATCAGTTTTGTGTGTGTGTTAATTGGAGGGAATGTGGATTTGATCAAAGCTGTGTCAGGAGGAAAGACCTAGAATGACTGGAGGAGGAAGGTAGCAACGCAAAGGATTGCCGGTATGAGAATGATGGCATAGAAGCCAGGAGCTAAGATGGGATCCCACCATTGTCTAGAGGGTGGGAGCAAGACTTCAATCTTTGAGGGGAAGTTTCTGTGGAGGAAAAGCAGAGTGGAGACATGGTGAGTGAGAGGGATAGCCCTCGTAGAAGTTCTTAATTCTGAAGGTTCATAGGGAAGCAGTTGATGGTCAGGAGATTGGTAGTTTTGTGGTGAGAAATCAAAATTTTTAATAAAACCCAAAAGGCTCTTGAGTCTATACTCAATACTTGAATCTTTTATTAGCTGTATCCTAAACTAAATTACATAATCTTAAAGTAGATGCAGATGTGTATTCCACTTAGGTGTGTACACATCCAGCATGCCTGAGCTTTTGCCTAGCATTACCTGTAGAAAGGTAGCGCTCATGCTCTGGCACCTTCCCTGGCTATCTGAGATGGCACCTTCCCTACCCCAACACAGTTCCTTCTCACCACCTGTGGTTGAAGTCTCACGATCTCGCACCTATTTTATTGTAATAAGTATTCGTTAATAACTTTAGTGTTCCCCAGTGATGCCCTCACTGGAGTTTAAACACTATCCTTAGTGTGGAGGGGTGATCCTCAATAGCAATCCCCACACACGTTGCTTGCTTTGTTTTGGTGAGGCACACCTTAAGAGCGCTATTCAATTTGTATATTGTTTCAGAAGTGGACTCAAGTGGTGTGGGACCTTTGCCTCAAGCAGCACCTGCTTGAATAGGCCATGTGGCGTTATCTGGTACCAAGGCCCCCCTCGGGCTCATCGCACTGCCGCCACTCATTCTGGGGCAGGCGTCTTGCCAAAGAGACAGAGGAGCTGTTCTGTCGTTGGTGCTGAGGAAGAGGTCTTGGGACCACTCCAGGTTGTGGGGCGACTCCTTTGCCTCCCCTTGAAAATGTGCAGACCAGCACAGGGTAAGTTCTGGCAGGCATACATCTGACCCTTCCCTGGTACCAGGTGGGAAATGCAGAAACCCGATATAATTGATTCTGGCTCCTGTCTTAAGGCATCTGTTGAACCTGGTACTAACAAGGGAGATGTCGGTACCAATTTCATCCACGTTGTTGGTGTACCAGGCCGCCACATACCACCTCTGCCTTTTCATCCTGATCTCACTGTTGGTCCAGGACTTTCCCAGGGTTGCGCCACCTCCAATGTAACGAGCCACTGCACCTCTATGTCCGTGGCCACTGCATCTAGATGCTCTCCTTCCTGTGGCGGGGATGGAGCTGGTACTGGAATTGGTGCGGGGAACCTCAGCACTAGCGCTCTCTTCAGCCCTGCCATATTCAGTGCTGCAAGTGCTCTCATGGCAGCTCTCACCACCTTTGTCGTTGGTGCATTTGGATGCTCCGGTACCGCTGTTTCCATCAGAACCAATGCTGCTTGTGGCACCAGCATGCTCTGTACTGCCTTCATCAGGGGCCCAGATTCCCACCCTGTTCTGGGCGACGGATGACTTGGACCAATGTTTGGGTGTAACTGCCCACGTTGCTGAAATCCCGGTGCTCCGATTCAGAGTCAGTTGTCGTCCTCCTGCTCCGCATCAACAAGTGAACTCCGGAGGATGCCAATGGACCAGTATGGCTCCCAGGTTGGCAGGTGCCTCATGGCCGGGACAGAGGTCCCTGGCCACCAATACCCTATCCCTATCAGTGGCCGGATGATGCTGTGCTTCCTCATTTGTCCTCTCCTTCTGTTCCAGAGAACTTTAAGGCGTAACAAGACCTTTACCCCATGTAACTACGCCCCTGGGCATCCAAGCGGCATTCCTCCAAGAGAACACACGCAAACTGGTGAACATTTTATAGCCCACCATCCCAAGGAGAGTGTTCCTCCTAATCAGTGATGTGCTCCTTGAGCACACGAGAGCCCTCTGGAGTACACTGGCCTCAGTACTGCTGGTGGCAAAACGTGTGGAAAAGTGCTACTTTGTTCCCATGCAGGGATTTGAGGGGTTCTTTTTCCATCTGGCCCCGAATTCCCGTTTTGTAACAGCGGTAAATGACAGGGCCTGGCCAGGAAAGTTCAAGTCTACTCTCAAGGACAGACTCGTAGATTTTCCTGCCTAGAAGATCCAGCCACTCTACCTCATCGCCCTTGCAGATGAGGATTGCAAATCAATGAGCTTTGTTGGCCCAATATGACTTCCTCATTTGATCAGTCATGGCTAAAGTTGAGGACCAGTTGCCAGAGGCTTTGCATGAGGAGTTCCGTATGTTTGTTGTGGAAGGCTGCTTAGTGGCCAAAACATTCCTGCAGCCCGCCCTTGATGTTATAGGCACCTTGGCCAGGGTTATGGCCTTGGCGGTAACTGAGGAAGGTTTTCTGGCTGCAGAACTTTGGAATCACTCTGGATATCCATCAAGGACTTGCCCTGTGACTGCAAAGTCTTGTTCTTGGACAAGACTGACACTTTGCACTCCTTCAGGAATTTCAGGGCTACCTTGAGGTCCTTGGAAGTGAACAGGTCATCCATGCAAAGATACCATTCTGAGGCTCAGCAGCAGCAACAATGTCACCTGCAGCATTCCTTTGCACAATCTTTTCTCCTGAAATAGGACTACCCTAGAAAGGGGGATAGATCCCACAGGAGGAAGCAGTTGGGCTTGAGCTTCAGGCAGTTCACATGCCCTCCCTCAGCGCAGACCAAGCACCCATTTTGACTCCTTTGACCAGAGCACTGGTCCACTTTAATAATGCTTGGGACTATATTACCTCTGACAGCTGTGTCCTAGATACTGTTGGATTGAGCTATGCAATCCTGTTCCTCTCCATGTCCCCCTCCAACCCTCCTTTCCTGTCCCTGTTCAGGAACCCCTCTCACGAGACACTGCTCATCAAGCAGGTCAGCTCTTTGAAGTTGGGAGCAATGGAGGTTCCATAGGAACACTGGAGCTACGTGTTTTTACTCCTGGTACTTCCTTATACCGAAATCCAAAGGCGTGATGTGACCCATTCTTGACCTTCGTGCCCACAACAAATTAAGTACTTGAGATTCTGCATGGTCACTCTATCGGCTATCCTCCCACACTGTCTCAAAACGACTGGTTTGCTGCCCTGGACTTTGAGGACACTGTACATTCTGCTGAGCCTCAGGAAGTTTCTACATTGTGGTAGGAGACCGCCACTTTCAGTATACGGTCCTCCCATTCGGCCTCTCTTCTGCCCCCTGAGTTTTCACCAAATGCATGGCAATATCATGGAATATTTTAGGAGGAAGGGAATCCACATCTTCTGATAGCTTGATGATTGGTTGCTGAAGGCTGGCTCCAGAGAGGAGGTTCTTACCCACATTGACATCACATTTAGTTTGCAGTGTTTAAAATGAGTCCCAGACGGTCGAGCAAAGTCAACCTTGACTTCTGCTCAACAAATAGAGTTAATTGGGACCTCTGAGATTACACAAGGTCAAAGGTATTTCTGCAGGCCTGCCTCAGTTTGCCGTCTCAGCCATTTATGATAGTCCGCCTGCGTCCAAGCCTATTGGGCCACATGTCCCCTTGAACACAGTGTGCCAAGTTGAATTGTCGCCCTCTTCAGATGTGGCTCAGGATGGTTTACTGACCTTCCTTGCATTCTCTGGACATGGTTTGTCTTCCTCCACTAGTCCTGGATTCCTTGCACTCATGGGAGTCCCCACACAATGTGTGCCCAGAAGTCCCCTTCACTCAGCCCTCTTCGACCAAGTCAGTGGTTACTGATGCTTTCCTTCTGTGCTGGGGGGTGCATCTAGATTCACTGAGGGTGCAGCCTCACTCCATATCTGCATGTTGAACTTTGGGCCATCCACAATGCATGTCATGCCTTCTGGGACCACATCAGACACTTGATGGTTCACACACTCATGACAAAACTATTGCAATGTGCTATGTGAACAAGCAAGACTAAGTGCTTTTCCAGGTTACTCTGTCTGAAAGTGATCAACCTGTGCCAATTTTGCATCAAAGAAGTCATCGCTCCGGTAGCAATCCATTTGCTAGGGGTGCAAAATTGTCTCATGAATCATCTGAGTGTTTTTCTGTTGTTGTTGTTGTTGTTGTTTTTTCTCCCCCCACCACTCAGGCCATGAGTGGTTCCTGAGGGAGAGTGTTCTCTGGGTCATTCCCATGATTGACCAGCTCGCGATGAAGGAAAACAAAGGTGTCACCAGTTGTTCTGCTCCCAGGGGGGGGCTTAGTCCAGGCTCCGTCTTCAGTGTCTTTCACGGCAGCTGGCATTCAGCTCTTCTGTATACCTTCTGATAATTCTGAAGGTGGATCAGGTCAAGTTCATCCTCATTGCTCCAGTGTGGCAGGTACAATGCCGGGTTTCAGATCTTCTTGCTCTGCTGGCTCAGCCTCCCATACTGTTTCTCTCCATCCTGACCTGCTCACTCAGGACCAGGGCTGCACCCTCAGTCCTTCAATCAGCTTCCTGCACCTTGTGAGCTGGAGGATGAAGAGGAGGAGCGGTGCTCAGCAGCTGTCCAGCAAGTCCTACTCAACAGTTGGAAGTCCTCCACTAGGACAGCCTACTTAGCCAAGTGGAAAAGATTCTCAGTATGGTCCTTGATCTTCAGGACCCAACCGATGGGCTTCCATCCAGAATATCTTGGAGTAACTGCTACATCTTCAGAAATCAGGCCTTGTGCTCAGTTTGCTGAGAGTGCATTTGGCAGTGATATCCGGATTCCATTCTCCTGATTTCAAGGGAAATCACAAGTCTCGTCATTGTGGCATTGGAAAAAACTGAAGAGGCTTCTCTGCTTACATCCTCTGGTCTGAGAACTGGTTCCCTTTTTGGACCTAAACATTGTTCTAGCAGCTCTGTATGGCCCTCTATTTGAGCCTCTTGTACCCTGTCTGCTGCCCCTCCTGTCAGCCATTATTTTGGTAAGAGGGGTCTATGAGTTGCAGGCCCTCATGGCTGAGCCAGCTTGCACTGTTTTCCAAGGACAAGGTAATGTTGCGACCTCACCCAAAGTTCTTATCCAAGGTGCTTTCTGTGTCATTTTTCCCCTAATCCATGCTCTTCCAGAAGAATAGCACCTCCATACTCTGGATGTCAGGTGATGCCTACATAAAAGGCTAGATAGGACTAAAGAGGTTTTTTTTTTGTATTTATCTCACCAGTTCATGTCATATGTGAACCACAAAGAGGCAAGCGGTCTCTTCATAGACTATCTCTAGATTAATAACATCCTATATCAAGGCTGCATATGAGAGAGCTTCAGCTACACCTCAGCAGATATAGGCTCACTCCACAAGAGTGCAAGCCACATAGATAGCATTTCTCAGTGGCATTTCCATACTGGACATTTGCAGGGCGGTCACCTGGTTGTCCATACATATATTTACAGACCATTATGCTATGACCACATCTTCCAAAGTGGATACAGGCCTCGGAAGGGCGGTCCTGCGATCCCAATTGTAGTAGACTCTGAGCCCGGCCTCTAGATAGGTGACTCATAAGCAGTACCCCACATCTGCACTTACTCGGAAGAAATTGTTACTTACTGTAATTGTGGTTCTTCGAGATGTGATGCAAACATGTATTCCATGACCCACGCTCTGGCCCCTCTGCATCAGAGTCTCCTGTCAGTGGCTTTTGGTGCAAAGGAAATGAGGGGGGTCAGGGTGGCACCACCTCATAGTGAGGGGAGGGGTTACAGCCAAGAAGTGGGAGCATGAGCCCTCTACAGCAGCGGTTCTTAACCAGGGTATAGGTCCCCTGGGGGGCCATGAGCAGGTTTCAGGGGTCTGCCAAAATAAACCAGAGAGCAGGGCCAGTGCTAAACTCACTGGGACCCACAGCAGAAAGCAGAAGCCAGAGCCCTGCCGCCTGGGGCTGAAGCCAAAGCCCAAGCAATTTAACTTCACGGGGCCCTCTGTGGCGTGGGGCCCTGGGCAGTTGCCCTGCTTGCTACCCCATAATGATGGCCCTGGTTCTTAATCTACTGGATTTGCAGAAAAGTAGTTGTTGTGGCACAGGTGGGCTGTGGCGTTTCTATAGCAGGTGGGGGTGAGGAAGGGGTGCTCAGAGAAAAAGGCTGAGAACCCCTGCTCTACAGGTATCATCATCCATCATCATCAAATATCAGGGCTAGAAGGGACCTCAGGAGGTCATCTAGTCCAACCTCCTGCCCAAAGCAGGACCAATCCCAGACAGATTTTTGCCCCAGATCCCTAAATGGCCCCCTCAAGGATTGAACTCTCAACCCTAGGTTTAGCAAGCCAATGCTCAAACCACTGAGCTTTGCTAGGCAAAAGTCTCGAGCTCTGGCGTGCTGAGCATGCACATTCCTAAGTGGAATACACATCTGCCTTGGCAAGAGAGTGACACAAATTTCTAGAGAAGACTCAGTAAGACTAACTTTTGAAAAGTAACCCATCAATTGGCAACTGTTTCCAGTGTTCAATATGATCAACATTTTACAGTAGTAAACTTGGTTAAAGGCCAACCTTTTAGTCACAGGTGTATATTCTCTTTACACAAATATCAGTGTGCATTTCTTTGCTCAGGACAGAGATAGGAAGATATTAGAGTTGCAACAAAAATTTGGAGAGCGGTCAGATGGATTGTTGGCTTTGGGAATCCCAAATTCAGATGTGTTGACTGCAGAAGATAAAGTGAAATCAGGTAAGCATCTAATATTCTTCCAGTATGTTCTTCTTGTAGAGTATAAACCAGCTTAACTCTCTCTCTTTGTCATATACAGATCTTAAATATAAGGAGATGCAGAGAACTTCAGAAGTATTGCAGAGACAGTGCGATGAGAAAGATGAGGTAAATTTCTCTCTTGTCCTAGACTTGGATGAGTGGGGGATTGTTTTGGTGATTGAGGGCTCTAGCCTATAAGGGCCAGATCTTCAAATACTCAGCAATAGAACTCTCTCAACTGGGGAAAAGCTTTCAAAAGTGTTCCTACCCAATATGCTGAGTTTTCTTTGGTGCCTAAAATGGGAATTGGGCTTTCTTACATTCTGGCTTGTCACTGGTTTGAATGTCATCTTGTAGTGACAATTACATATCCTCTCTAATAGTCGGGATGCGGTGGAAACTAGAATCAGCAAAACATCTGGCCTAGGATCACAAACACTTTATTCAACAATCCTTTGAGGTAGGAAATAATTATTGCCCCATATTTTAGAGATGAGGAACAGAGGTGTAGGCTAAGTAATTTGCCCAAGGATGCTGGGTAACAGCCCAGATACTGAATTTCAGATCAGTGCCATTAAAAAAGCAGTCCTTCCTCTCTTTCTTTTTTTTTTTTTTAAGCACTAAAGTCACAGTGAAGTGAAACTAACTACTTGGTTGGTTGCCAAAGCTATTTTCTGGATGGAGTGCAGATCTGGAAGTCTAACATTAAATAGCTCATTGCTGTAATATCCAGAGTGTGCATTAGGCTTACTGGTATACGTTTAAGCACAACCCCAAACCAGAATTCCTTCAACTGTTCATATGTACCCGTCGCTTACTAATTCACACCCTGGAGTAGCTTATTGCTCTGTGTGTGTGTGTGTGTGTGTGTGTGTGTAATAAATATATTTATATCACACACATATATATATATATATATATATATATAAATAAAAAATAAATTAAAAGCACACTAGGGAAAGGAGAAATATCTCTTTTTTGGCCAGCTTTTAATAAACATACTCATAGTAGAGAGTTTCATCAATTTCTGCTGAAAACCAGACATTTTTACTTTTGTGAGAAACTTTCTATATTTTACTAGCTCTAATTTTGAGTATATAATATATTTATTTAAAGTCCCTGGACTAGTCACTCATCTTCTTATACCCAGTCTCCAGAATCTCAGCAGCAAGTTCTGGCCCTGAAGCCAATTTCAACTTTTTGGCCTGAAAACAAAACTTGCTTTCTAGTGCAAAAGCTTAATTGTGAGTTGTTCAGCATTTCAAATTTAAAATCTCTAAAAGAGCAGCAAGCTATTGCTGGAATGGTAGCCTGGGACTTCAGGCAGTGGAGACAGTCTAAAAGAATTACTAATTCTCCTGGAAATCCCACTCCTCTATCCTGCTTCACTTCTCTCATACATTTCTACTCAGTGGCTCAGCTCTTACTTTGCATAGTTTTCCCCTCCCACATTTGCCCATTTAACGTAGTGAGCACAAGGATTGTTTTTAATGTAAGTATTTATAACTTCAAAGCCTGTTAGAGAACTAGTTTAATAGTGGGGCTTTTTTTGTTTTTTGTAGTGGAGTATAGCTGGGGGCACTAATTCTCAAAACCTATTTTGATTAGGAGGTTGGGCCTCTATCTCAACTGTGTTCCTGCTCAGATAGTTCACAACTAGTCACACACAAACATAATCAATAGAACAGTGTTAAAGGAGGGGGGGAAAGGGGGAGGAGAGAAAGTAGGCTTTAAACTGCCCCTTTCCCCAGCCTGTGAGGTGATTCCAGGAGCAGTCTGTGGTCCTTCCTTCCATTCTTACTGCTGGTAAGTGGTCACAACTCTCCTGTCTTTAGTAGAATGGCAACTGCTTATTCCTGCAGTGCACCTGATCGAACAATTTTAATATGTGCTGGTTGTACTTTATTGTGGTTAAGATACACTTGTAAAATTCCACTGTTCTACCATGGGACCGCTTTTTCATTCTGGGGTCTTAATGGCCTCTTGCTGTGGAATACTAATAACACCCTCAAATGTTTAAATGGTTTAAATCTCCATGCATTTAAGTATATATACCCTTAAAACTTTCAAGGATTTCTTAAACTTTAATATTGTTTTGTGCAGCTTATAAAATCTCTGAAGCTTAAAATACACAAATTAAATGAAACCTTACAAGAAATGAATGAAGTCTGCAGAAAAACAACTGAGGAAAACAGTAGACTGACACACATGGTAATGCTCAAGGTTTGTCAAACAAGTATTGAAACTAACCATTAATTTAAAGGTAGTGCAGCTGATGGTTTTACAAGGCTATTTCTGAATAGCAGATAGCAATTTTATTTTTGGTTCTTGTTCCTTTTAGTGCTAGCATAAAGCTTGTCCTTGAGCTGGCTGCTTGCTGAATCTTTTATGGTCTTTAGGATATGAATTGACCATACAGGACACTTCTTGTACTATGGTTTCAAATGTCAAACCCCTGTGCTTGTATTCTCTAAACTGGTAATATGTAAAAAGGTTTATTTTGTTTGATTTGTGTAGAGGGGAGTAGATATGGAAAACTAGAGGAGACTGTACTGTAAATCTGACTGCATTTGAAATGATTTTATAAAACATTGGTTAGAAACTAGCAACTTTCAAATATAAATAAAAGATGCAGTATTCAGAGAGCTCTTCTTGAATGCTCAAATATAATCCATTGTGGCTTGCTAGACCTCAGCAGAACACCTGTACACTACTGTTGATTACTGTGAAACACAAAAATATTAGCTTTAAGCAACAGTGCCTTTCCTATGAAAGAGACTAAATTATATCTAACTAGAGCCTCTGGACTAGATCTTCAATTAAGGCCCTATTCTAGCTGCAGTGACTCTCCCACTGACCATGAGGCTTAAACAGAGAGTAGAATATGTTCTTTGGATAGCAACTAAATTAATACTGCTATCTTTTGAATTTGGCCGCTGGGTTTGGAAGGGACAGATAAAAACAATGCAAGATACTTCTAAGACTACTGAGCTTTTTGCTTTTAGCCCATGTGAGCATTAAATTACGCAATTTACATGCACTGGCCTTGAGTTTATAGCCCATTCATTTCACTGGGATACATCAGTTCACATTTAAAAGGCTTTTGTTGCAACCATAAGAACCAGAAACATCATTGACCAATTTTGATGCCATTGTGGTTCTCTGTGGTCAAATATCTGCTATGTAGGAATTGCATTGGGCCCAGTAATCCATTTCTTGGCCATTGAATAGCCAATTTAGATAGTAACAACCTGGGTTGAACTTGAGGACTGATTTATGCCACATGGAAGATACTTTGAAAACTACCTTCCCCTTTCTTACTACTTGAACATTTACATAAAAACAGGAACTTCTCCTTGATGATCTATATCTTATTCTAGTCTAAAGTCAAACAAAATTATGCTGTAATTAGTTGCTGTGGAGAGAATTCTGACTCTAGGTTTGAAATTGAAACAGGAGCAGATGAATACCTAAGGAATAAAGATCCTGTGATCCTTACTTCCCCAATATTTTGAGTTTCTTGTCTTAATGGGCCAAATAGAGACCTAAATTGGAAACTGAAGTTAATTAGCATACCAAATGTGGTATTCAGGCATCTTGCTCTATTTAGTTTCTGAGGTGGTATTGCATGTGTTTGTGACCATGTAATTTAATGTCTCAATACTGCCAAAACTTTAAGTTAAATTTTGGCTAATGGCCTTTGCCCATTTTTCTTCAAATATAATTGCCTGTACAGTAGAGTAGGTAAAATTTCAGCCAAAACTTCTTTAGCAGAAAATGCAGATTTGGCAACACTGAAACACTTTGTGAATTCATGTTGTTTTTGCCAAATAATTAGTGGAAGGAGAAACAAAACTTGAAAAAAAATCAGTCATTTTGACACTTTGTTTGAATTTGGGGGGGGGGGGGGGAATGTTTTCCTCCAAACCTGTTTTAAGACTTCCTTCAATTTTTAAAAAAACAAAAACCTTAAACACTAAATGCAAACAGTGTTGTTTTGGGTAAGACAAAATATTTTGTCTGATAGGCAAATTGGTTGAAACTATAGTGAAGAACCAAATTATCAGACAGAGGAACACGATTTGTGAAGGGAAATCATGCCTCACAAAGCTATTAGAATTTTGAGGGGGTCACCAAACATGTGACTATAGTGTACGACTTTCAGAAAGCCTTTGGCAAGGTCCCTCACCAAAGGCTCTTAAGTACAGTAAGCTGTGCTCGGTTAGGAGGGAAGGTCCTCTCATGGAGCAGAAATAAATGGTCAGCTCTCAGAATAGAGGCAAATAGCATTGTCCCCCCAGGGATCCGTATTGGGACCAGTGCTGTTCAACATATTCATAAATGATCTGGAAAAAGGGGTAAATAGTGAGATGACAAAATTTGCAGACTCTTAATTTGCAGACTCTTATCTTAAGTAATTTTGTAAATTCAAAGCAGACTGCGAAGAGTTAAAAAGGGATCTCACTAGACTGGGTGAGTGGGCAACAAAATGGCAGATGAAATTCAGTGCTGATATGTGCATTACTTTCCATATAAAATGGTGTTTTTCAAAATGTAGAGTTTTGCTAACAAATAACTTAGATCCCCACTCGGGAAAGATCTTGAAGTCATTGTGACTAGTTCTCTGAAAATATCCGCTTAATGTGCAGTGGCAATCAAAAAAGCTAACAATGTTAGGAACTATTAGCAAAGGGTTGGATAGATAAGACACAAAATATCAATGTCACTATATAAATCCATAGTACACCCAAACCTTTCATAGTGTGTGTAGTTTGGTACCCCATCTTAAAAAAAGATCTATTAGAATTGGAAAAGGTACTGAGAAGAGCAACAAAAATTAAGGATATGGACCAGCTTCCATATGAGGAGAGATTAAAAAGACTGGGACTCTTCACTTGGAAAAGAGACGACTAAGCAGGGATATGATAGTCGTCTATACAATCCTGAATGGTATAGAAAAGGTGAAGAAGTTTCTTTCACATAACCACCAGCAGTCACCCAATGAAATGAATAGGCAGCAGGTTGAAAACAAACATAAGGAAGTACTTCTTCACATACCACACAGTCAACCTGTGGCACTCGTTGCCAGGGGATGTTGTATAGGCCAAAACTATAAAGGGGTTCAAAAAAGAACTAGATAAGTTCATGAGGATAGGTCTCTCAATGGCTATTATCCAAGATGGTCAGGAATGTAATCTATGCTCTGGGCATTCTGAGCCTCTGACTGCTAGGAGTGGACAAGAGGGGGTGAATCACTCTATTGCCTGTTCTGTTCATTCCTTCCGAAGCACCTGGCCAATCAGGATACTGGGTTAGATGGACCATTGGTCTGACCTATTATGGCGGATCTTAAGATTGCCAGCAAACCAAAAAAATCAATGTATTTGCACAGTTCTACTATATAGCACCCTGATCTCATTCTAAATTTTACTTGGAGAAAATGAACAAAATAATAGTACCATCCGCTAGTGTTCACTTATCTAATGTGGTTTAACAATTCCATAGGAACAAGAAATGAGAAGTCTTCAGAACTGGGCTAAACGTGTCCTTGAGCTTGAAGCGACAGTGTCTCTTCTGCAAGAAGAACTAGATGAGAGCAAAAAGCACTTGTATTCAGAAGATCTTAAGGAGCAAAAACCCAAGAGAGGCTTGTTTGCTAATCTAAAATCTACAGTAACAGGCACTTCTAAAACACCTGTTGGCAAAACCTTGGGGAAATCTGAAGATTCTCCAACCATGTCAAGAAAACAAGCTACTTTTACACGTAAAGTAAAAGAATAACTCTAATCCTTGATGCATTAACATGTCTGTATTGACAAGGCCTATCCGCTGTAATTTTGAACTGATGTTAGCAACAGTTGGAATTTGGGTGGAGAAAAAAGGGTAGTATAGACACCGCCTTACCATCAATGTAACTGGGAAGATAAGCTATTAATAGGAATGACAACTTTCCTTCTGTCAAGTGTCTTCTGTAGTAACTAAAGACATGTAAATGTAAACATAAATTGGGATTCTTGTGCAACGGTTGGTGTGAGATGTGATCACCTGCTGTGGCAACACAGCAGGTATGGATTTCCATATAACAGGAGAAAGGGTGCCTTGTGTCAAGGTTAGTGGTACATTCCTGTCTTTTACTTTCCTTGTTTCTTTTTACACTTGCTTCCAACATTCAAAATGGCATTTGCGCTCGACCAAACCGCTTGTTCACTTTAGCTGTTTCATTAGCTAGTAGATATTGTTTGTAGAGGAGCTGGCTTCCTCACAGTTAATCTTCTGCTTGATTTGAATTGAACTAGTAATCTTATACTTGATGTCAGTTTACTGTGGAATTAAAATGAGAGATTTAGTACTAATATTTCATTTAATGATCTAGTCAGATGATGGAGTGGCAAGGAGCCACTGTTCATTTTAAATGCTTCTGTCAATCATAATTGTCTTGGTTTGGAAAGGAATGTCCATTTGAAAATCCTTCACTGAATTGTGTATGCAGTAGTCTTCTTAAAATTTACTTATAATAAAGCTTGGGTTTTTTTCAAGTCTATTAAATATTAGATCATTTAAGATTTGGTGTTACAGTGATTAGGTCATGAGATACCACTTGATAATTTGAGCTGCAAGTCCCTGTGTGTCTTAACTTTTGTTTCTATTAAAATATGATGCACTTGAAATCAAAGTTTAGGATCAAGAGGGCCAGTACCTCATCTTCTTAAAAGAAAACTTTGTCTAGAAATGTAGTGGGGCTAGGACTGCCTAGTGATTATAACCAGAAAGAGTTGAGTTATTTTAGCCAGATGATAGGATAACTACTTCAGAAATAAGCGACAGAGTCCTGTGGCACCTTATAGACTAACAGACGTATTGGAGCATAAGCTTTCGTGGGTGGATACCCACTTCATCAGACGCATTTACTTCAGAAATGTGCCAGTCACAAGGTTGTAGGCGTTGAGCAATTGCCTTTGCATGGTTTAATGGTGGCTGATTTTGTTGTGCTCTGTTGTCAGCATTACACAACTACGTATAGGAACCCATGAGAAATGTAAGAGGGTTTTTGGCAAGTTCTCAGCTTTCAAGCAGTGCCACACAGAAAACTAGAAATGATCAAAGTGATATTTTGGTGTCTGGGGATGGTGGTGGATGTAAATAGTGTTGATTTGGGATTTAGCCTTACCCCCTAACTAGGAATGTATTATCTGAGTTGCTAAATTATGCAGCAGGTGGATTATGTAGGAATTAAGCAATACATTACAATTAAGTCATGAAACAGGGTTTCAAGCAAGGGAAGCTGAATAGTTGGAGAGTTAGGTGAATTCTTGTGGTCAGAGAAACCTAGGCTTGCAAAACATAGCGGCCTATATTTGGAGTACAAAGATTAGAGGTTTTGAAGTTTATACACCTCAAAAAAACAAACCAAAAAAACCACCTCCTGACTGAGGCCATATTTACAGGGACTACAGTGGCATAATCCTGTACTATAGAGGCAGCCTACAGTGACAGGGTTTTTTTTATTTTTCATTGCTGTAAGAACTCTATGTGCCTTTGTGGCAGTAGCTAGGTGGAGAGGCATTCTTTTGTCAACGTGGCTGCATCTACACTGGGGCTAGGTTGGCATAGCTAGGGTGGTCAGGGGTGTGGATTTTTCACACCCCTGAACGCTGTGATTGTCGACCTACGTTTTAAAGTGTAGACCAGGCCTGAGTTAGAGGTTGTCACTAACATTGTGAACCACTAGATGGAGCAGCATTACTATTGCAACACTATCATGTTCCTGTAATTCAAAGCCCTGGTCTTGAAATTTCCTCTTTCCTTTGTCAGTATCAAATACTCCTAACTGGTTAAGTGAGTCTTTCTTTGTCTGTTAAAACTCTCACACCAATGTGTGCTCAGGGACTTCATATAAATATGTAAATACCACTAGGAATTGGGATTTTCTGATCTCAGAAGCACCAGGTACTCGCCCAAAAAGCAATATCCAACGGGGTTATTTGTCCTATCAAAACAGGTGTCCACTGGTTTATAAATGGACTCATCACAACCATGGCAAATTCCAAAGAAACAGCCTTCTTGCAGATTGAACGCCATCTGGATCAATCTCTAGCTCAGTCATTAAACAGACTACCTATCCAGATCACCTTATGTCCATCATGGGCACTCAGGACAAGATCAGAAATGAGGATAATAAATGGAAGTTCTCATTTTAAATATTTTGGTTTATTACAGTAATCTGGTAACATAAATAGGAATCTTGATAAACCCCCGTCAATAGATTTCAGGCTAGACAAAGCTCAGTCTGTATCATTTCTCCCCTCCTCCCCCCCCCAAACATTACATAAAATGGCTTAAGTTAAACCAAACATGCTTCCATCTTTCACCTATGTTTTGAACAAGTAACAGAGTACAGTTCAGCACACCTGCATTTCTCAGTGCTGCACTAGCTCTGCAAGCACATAATAATGTGATCCAATGTATGGCTCCTAGACTTTTTCTGCAAGTAAGATGACTTCACATTTCCAAATGCTAACTTAAATTTTGCACATGTTCTGGCTTTCCTAAATGTCTCAGTAAATGGTGGTGCCTGCTGGCACTGCAGAAGAGTGAGGTTTTAGCAGCTATTTTGAAGATATTTTGGAATTTACTACTGTGGTGGGTAGTTCAGAATTGTAGGATAAGAACCACTTAGATGAATATTTCTGCTAAAATATTCAGCGGTGAAATGGCTGTCTTGAGATTTCTGAACTGCTCCTCTGAGATGAATGGGTATAAAAGAGGCAAGATTCATTTAAGCGATGTTAACTAAAAGAACTATTTGTTTTGTATAGCATCTGAACACTGACAGGGTCTGATCCTGCATTCCTTGTACACAGAAAACTGTCAGCCTGGCCTATAAAATTGGCTATTTATTGTAATTTGAAGGACAAACTACAATGGTACAAGTTTTAAATTTAAAGAGTTTGTTTATTAAAATAAAAAATCACCATACAGTAAAAATATTTACACAGTCTGTGGTGGTTAATCTGCACATTGACTGCCTTCCTTCATTCAGAAACCTGCTATGCTTTACTAAAAAAGAAAAGCAATGAATGTCTATACTGATCACTATGTTTGGACTGCAGGTACACTAAAGCCTCACTAGTAGTTAGCCTCTTTTTAAAGCTTCCGTAAGTACCCTTTACCATAAATTGTTTTGGTTGTAAGAACAGCCCAGTCCCACTTTATGTAAGGGAGGACAGAAACAGGCAGTCACATTGTAATTGCACTAGTTAGTCTTTTTGATAACTAAAAAATACTCAGTCATGAAGTGAATTATCAAGATGAGAATTAGTTCAAATACACTTTTGTTAATATGCCTGGATCCAAACAGAATATGCATTAAGAACACCAACTATGTAACAAGTAAATCAGTCATGGTTTTTAACTGTTTATGAATTAGTAATAATTACATACTGAAAAGCAAAACCAGGGTGCTAACACTCACTTCAATGTAATTTCACTGATTACAATATGCTTATAAGGTGTGGTGCATTTTAAAACATGAATTTTGGCTAATCTTTAAAATGTCTTTCAGTTCAATTAATTGAAACAGCAAAAATGCTAGGAATAAATTACTGAATCACTCTAAAATTCCTATTAAGATACTTATAGAAAGCATTTTCATGGTTAATAGATGGATCACAGTGTTTCAAACTACTGACGGCCAGATCCTGCTCCCTTCAAAATATAGGGGAGATTTGCCACTGACTTAACCGAGGGGAAAAAATGAATTTTGAGCAGGTGGTTCCAGGCTTAAATTCATGGTGCTCTATATGCAGAGCAAGACAATATGCTGTCTTTTTTTTTTTCTGACACATTGAGCACAATAATGCAATTTCAAAATATTGCAGGTCTTATTCTTACCTTGGTGCCTGTAAAAGACACTTTTTTCAAACCTTAACAGTGTAAATGCTTGGGCTGTGCATATATGCCAAAGAGAATTAATTTAAGTGTAAAAATTACCTTTTAACCCTTTCTTAAAGAGGATGATTACATCCTAAATATTTGAATCTTGCAACAAGATACTGTTCTCCAGATACTGATGTAAGATAACCAGAGGCTATAAAAATACAAAGCACGACTTTCATGATGTGCTATCTTTCAAAAAGCTAATTTGGGAGCAGAAATTCTTTAACTTTTCCATTCATAAATTGTTCATATTTATCTTCAGACTTCATACATTTTCTTGTAAGGCAAGCTATCATTTAGAGATTTCCCCAAATTCTGTCTGCAGCTTCAAATGCTTTGTAAGTCTGTATTGGTGCGACTGCACTCTGTCTTTGTTTCCAAAGCTTGTCTTGTTTGGATGTTTATTTAGGCAAATAAAAAGATAACATCTAAAGAGAACTCTAACCTCAAGCAGAGTGATCATTCAAATTAAATTAACCATAGAAAAACATGGTTTATTTCTAAGCAGAATGATTCTTCCTGTGGAGTTTCAGCCTCCAGTTTCAGAAGCCACAATCGGTTAGGATATCCAAATACATGATATCTGCCCACTTTGTCCGAACAATGGTCTATGCCAACTGGCAAAGTGTTCCTTTGTTCTATGGCTGCTGTTGATACTGCCCTTCTGTTGCTGTGTAGAAATCATCTAGCACACTCTGTAAATAATCAAATGTTGGCCTCTCTTCTGCTTTATCTTTCCAGCATGTTTTCATGATATCATAAAGCTCAGCTGGGCAAGTTTCCATGCGTGGCATGCGGTACCCACGCTGAAGAGCAACCATCACATCAGCATTACTCATACCTAAAACAAAAAAAATGATTTTAGAAGCAGATTTGTGTTAAAGATCAGATTAGAGCACCTTCTTTTGCTGCTATTCCACACCCCAAAAACTCAAGTTAATTAATCTAAGGGGACATGGCAAGTTTTTGTTTACCTTTTTTAATTAAAGCTAGCAAAGAGACACGGTAAATGAGAAATATTTTGCGATCTCCTGGCAATTTACTTGAACTACAGTATTGTCTTGGGGGTCAGGGTCCCCATTGTACTAGATGCTGTGCATATACATAGTAAGACAGTCTCTGCCTCACAGAGCTTAAATATAAATTCACATGCAAAAACCCTTTAATGTAGGGTTAAGGTTGTAGAGAGTGCTCTGTGTTCCTCATGCCTTTCCAGAACACAAGTTAAATTCCAAAAATCCAACTGCTGGAAAACCAGGAAATAGAGGGTTTTTCCTCAAGGCCCTCTCTGTATTCACAACTTGTGAGCTGTGACATGTCAGGCTCTGTAACTACTTTGAAAAGCTGTGTCATGCGCTCTCTTTCACGAGGGAGATACGCTATTCTCCATAAGGGATATGACTCCATGGCCATTGCTCCTTCATGATCATTGCAGACAATGAATGGAATAAACCTTTGTGTCCTCAGGACTATATTTTCTCAAGCCTAGCTTTCAGCTTTGTAAATAGTTTAGAGTAGCATAGGCTAGTTTAGTGTAAGCAGCCCTTCCATTGTCCCAGGAGACCTTAGTACGTTACCTGGATTATGTCCAGCCTGAAACCCCTAAGGCCTTCAAGAGGTGCACCTCTTACCCATTGATAATACTGGAGTCAGAATCCCATGTTTCGATCACTCAGTAATCTTATTTACTGTTTTTGAGACACCTTTACTGCCTGCACCTAAAGGGGGAGATCTTCCAATGGGCCCATTGATGGAACCAACACCACCCTCTGTGCAGAGCTTCTCTTACACAGGTCCCAAGAGACACTTTACCAGTCTGGTCTCAGCACTACCTTCAATCATCTCTTTAGCCCTAACCTGCAAGACATTCCCTCACCCTGCACAATCTGGTATTGGTTAAATCTAAAGCAACATTGAAGAACAAACTGGCACAGCCTTTTAAAGTGGCAGAAGCCTCAGTAACCATAGTGCCTACTCCTCACCTAGTACTGACACACCAATTCTGAGGCCATTCTTGAGCTCAGATGCCTTTCTTAATACTTCATGACCAGACTAGATGTTTGATTGTGTAATAACACATTTCCCCAGAGGAGTTGTTTCCTCTTTATTCTGTTTTACATCCTTTCTCTTCTGTACACCCAGACCCATGGGGCCTCTCAAATAGCACCATGGTAATTTCATCTGTGTACTCCTTCAGAACTGAATGCTCAACCCTGACAAACTTGGTCTCACTGGTTTGGATCCTAATGACACCTTCAACTTGGGTAAACCAGCCAAGTTTTTTATTAATGGATTTTCAGAGTGCCATCCTAGTACCAGATACTTCATGTTCCCTCTCTCTTTGCACTCAATCTGTGGGCACATTATGTTGGGAGGAGACCTGTATGTTGGTAACCCCTTGGGCAAATGCCCCCAAATTTGTGCCACACACTCTACTCCTACCTTTGCTGTGGCACAGTAAGTTTCAAGGCACTCTGCCTATGTATGGGGATTTTAGAGTACTTAGAAAAATCAGCTGTGAACAGAAACCCTGCTGCAACCGTGACTACTGAAGAGTTGCTAGACAACAGCTGAGAGTAAGGTACTGTGTAGTAGTATCAGCAGAAGGGAATTGAAGCAGAGTGTGATTAAATGCTTTGGCCAAAGTCACATACAAGCAATCTGTGATAAAACTGAGAATTGAACCCAGATCATCTGAGTGACAGTCTGGCATCTTAACTACAAGATCATTCATTCTTGGGAGGGATAGCTCAGTTGTTTGAGCATTGGCCTGCTAAACCCAGGGTTGTGAGTTCAGTCCTTGAGGGGGCCACTTAAGGATCTGGGGCAAAAATCAGTACTTGGTCCTGCTAGTGAAGGCAGGGGGCTGGACTCTATGACCTTTCAGAGTCCCTTCCAGTCTCTGAGATAAGATAATATGGAGATATACCTATTACATTATACTCACTACCATTTGTTTCAGAGCATAGGATAGAGAATAATTGTATTTGGAGGAGCAGAGGCAAACAGTCTTTGTCATTCTCACCATTATACAGCCTTGAGGGAAGCAAAGCAAGGGGGAAGCAGGATAAATCCAGAAAAGCACGAAGAAGAGCTTTCAGGGAATGCTTCCATCTTCCCTCAAACTTGCAGCTGCCCCTCTTTCCCTAAAACCCACAAAATAACCAAAGCCTCTTGTGAAAATTGTGATGCCTGAGGAAGGCTTCCAGGAGCTGTAAACTAGTCCGACAGAAGAGAGAGTGGCCCGATGTAGCACAAGGAATCTGGATGATAGAACAGTGACTTTCAAAGAACTAACAAGAACTGCAAGGTGCTTTATACCCACAGCAGTCGGTGTAGAAGCTGCTTTTCCTATCACATCAAACCTACCAGAAAGGGGAGCAAGAATCAGATGCTTTATTTTCTATTCTGCATAAGCTTAGAAGACAATCACCTCTGAAATGCAAGGGGAAAAGGCAGCTTGAATAGTAAAGAGGAAACATCAAAGTGCACGCAAAAGTTAGCTAATAACGTCTACTGGGCCAGATTCAGATCACCAGTGTATTTCTGAAGTAATTGCATTAGAACCAAGAGTTATTCTGGTGTAGCCGATCAGAATGCGGCCAATAAAAAGTTCCTTTTTTCGATCAACAAGCGGGGGAGAAGATAACTGTGCGTCAGTAAACCATACTGTCAACTGGCAGATGTGAATGAAGTGGTGAACAAAGCTAAGCACATTTCAGAGACTAACACAGTCATTAGATGGAAGGGATAGTGTTAAATACAATGTAACAGCACATTTGGCCAGCTTATTTACGGACAATAGTGTTAGAAATAAAGGAAAGCACTTGTTTGGTCTCTAAACTACAGGATGAGTACTGCAGCAAGGCTGCTGGGGGCAACAGGACAGAACAAAGGAAATATGCTCAA